CTGCTTCATTTGGAAAAATGCTGCACTCTCAGAGCTCAGGCGGTGTTGTATTTTGATGCATATTTGTCAACGGTTACTTGAGTTTCTCACCTCCCTTTTCAACCCACAACCCACAGAGCTGCCCTCTTGTTTGTAAGACCTGTCGTCCCCACCTGCTATCTCCTGACAGTTAATACAGTAGCATCTAGTTGTCCCTGCCCTATACCTTTCTAGAAACACTTGGATCACTCTGTACTGCAGAGTTTTCAAGACAGGTGGCTGCAGAAATTAGGAGTCAAAAGGGATTCCGTGACTGTTTTTTCATTCTTTGTTTCTCTCCTTAACAGGGTTTCGGGGAAGAGGAGCTTTGGATTTCAATAGGGGGATTTTTGAATGTTTGCATTTGCTTACATTGTACTCTCATAAGGAGGTATTTTGGAGACAGGATCAAAGTCTAAACATGACATTCATTTATGATTCATATGCACCTTAGAAATATAGCTGGAAAGTAATTTTATATAGGTTGTCCCCTGACTGTCCCCAGAGAAGGACAGTCGTGTCCTACTCTGGGGTGTGGTGCTCGTCTCCATTTCTAAGCCAAAGAGCCGGCGTTGTCCATAGACACCTCCAAGGTCATGTGGCTGGCATGACTGCATGGAACGCCATTTTTATATACAACTAGCATATATATGTTGCAGAGGGGCTACTGTCCCCATGCTTTCCTTTCTTTATATTGGGAGGAGTTGGAATCTGTGACTTTTCAGAAAGTGCTGAACTATAATTCCCATCACTACTGAATGTTGTGCATGCCACCTGCAGCTAACGATAGCTGGGTCCCAGAATCAGGTTCCTAATGCTTGTTTTGAATGGCTAATGACAGGGCCAGTCTTAATGACCTATATAATTGTTATACAGTAAAATAAATGCTATTAACTTTGTTCAACATAGTTCTTCTTTGTGTGAGCCTAGGGTCCTTCCACACAGACATATAACACAGAATATCAAGGCAGATAATCCACAATTTGGGAGCTGCCAGTGATGGAGTGGGTTAAACCACTGAGCTGCTGAACTTGCTGATCAAAAGGTCTCAGGTTTGAATCTGGTGAGTGGTGTGAGCTTCTGCTGTCAGCCCCAGCTTCTGCCAAACTAGTACTTCAAAAACATGCAAATGTGAGTAGATCAATAGGTACCACTCCAGTGGGAAGGTAACAGCGCTCCATGCAGTTATGTTGGCCACACGACCTTGGAGGTGTCTATGGACCACACCGGCTCTTCAGCTTAGAAATGGAGGTGTGCACCACCCCCCAGAGTTGGACATGATTGGACTTAATGTCAAGGGGAGAACCTTTATCTTTACCTTAATCCACAATATCTACTTTGAACTGGATTATCTGAGTCCACACTGCCACATAATCCAGTTCAATGTGGATTTTATACAGCTGTGCCCTAGTGGACCAAAGTTGATGGGGGGGACGGGACATCACTTTGATTGCAGTGGGAAATCGCCCAATATATGCCAGAATATCAGAACACAAAGACTTAAAAGGAAAGGGTCAGGAGAAGGGAAGAGGGAGAAAGATGACTTTGGGGAAAATTATATTTTTGTAATCTAGCTCCTTGAATCCTAGAGCTGGTCAATGGATTCTGGAAGCTGTAACCAAAGACTGGATCTGCACTGCCATATAATACAACTTGAAATGTAATGAATGGCATTAAATGGGTCTACACTGACCATATAATGCAGTTCGAACAAAGTAATCTATTCCTAAGCTCTGAATTTGATGTTCTTTAGAGGGAAGTTAAGGAAGGGTTAGTTAAGAGAGAGAGAGAGAGCAACATGGGAATACAAAGGTCCCTAACGGATAGATCCTGATTGGCAGCTGCTATCCCAGCTGCTCTCTGTGGAGCGAGGAGAATCTGGCAGGCCCCCATGTTTGGCACTGAGCCATGGGCATCCCTCCATCTGCTGAGTTGGCCCCGAACTGCCTCATTGTCTGGGCGGCCTGCCATTCAATCGGTGACTGGCGTCCGGCACTGTGTATCCCGTGCACGGAAGCGCTTGGGTATCAGCTGAGATCTGGGCATCCTTCCCTGTGTGGTTCCGCTTTGCCCTCTTCCATTGCCTACTTTTTTCTCCCCTCGTGCCCTACATAGCTGACCAACTTAGAAGCCATTCACATCCATCCTCACTTCTCTGTGGGGCTAATTATGCTAGAAGAAAAAGTCTGTGCATGTGTCTATTGCAGTGCCATAAGAATACAGGATGTATGACCATTTAAACAGTGGAAGTATCTCTTCATCTAATGACCCTAAGACCTGGTGTTATGAGAAAAAGAGAAGAAAAAAATGTTAACAGCTTTTTCCTCACAATTCACACTCTTTCCACACCTTTGCCACTGAATTGCGGAACAAATTACTCTCTAGATGTTGGTAATCTTCAGCTCCCATCATCCCCAATCGACATGCCTAGGGATGGGCTGATGAGACATGCAATTCCAGAAACATCTGGTGGATGTTTCTGGGACTCACTGCTCACATTTTTTTCAGGAAATTTTGTGTATGCAGGTCAGTGGAGTGATTGCATATGAGAAGATGCAAAGAAAGGTGTTTAAAAGCTATGTGGAAAAGGGAACTTCATCGACTGTAGCTTTTCACACCATTGCCATAACAACACCAGCCAATGCCTCTGCAATGCCAGAAATACAGCTTAATGGTGTAATATTAGAAAATGTTGACCATTTCCACTACTTTGACAGCCACCTCTCCACAAAAGTCAACATTAACAATGAAGTACAACACCGCCTGATCTCTGCGAGTGCAGCATTTTTCTGAAAGGAGCAGAGACTGTTTAATGATCAGCATATCCATAGGAATACCAAGGTGCTTTTTAATAAAGCTATTGTCCTCTCAACCCTACTATATGCCTGCGAAACGTGGACTGTTTACACTCAACTACTGTAACAATTGCATCAGCGTTGCCTCCGAAAAATCCTACAAATCTCTTGGGAAGACAGGTGGACTAATGTCAGCATTCTGAAAGAAGCAAAGACCACCAGCATTGAAGCGATGCTCCTTTGCCATCAACTCCACTAGACTGAATGCCACATTGTCTGAATGCCTGATCACTGTCTCCCAAAGCAGTTACTCTACTCCCAACTCAAGAATGGAAAATGGAATGTTGGAGGACAGGAAAAGAGATTTAAAGACAGTCTTAAGGCCAACCTTAAAAACTGTGGTATAGACACCGAGAACTAGGAAGCCCTGGCCCTTGGGCACTCTAGCTGGAGGTCAGCTGTGACCAGCAGTGCTGTGGAATTTGAAGAGGCATGAATGGAAGGTGAAAGGGAGAAATGTACCAAGAGGAAGGCACTTCAAGCCAACCCGACCAGGACCGCCTTCTACCTGAAACCAATGTCCTCACTATGGAAGAATATGCAGGTCAAGGATAGGACTCCACAGTAACTTATGTATCCATCGCCAAGACAGTACACTTGGAAGGCCATCATACTCAGACAATGAGGGATTGCCTAAGTAACTAAGTATAACAACAACAATAATAACAACCACAATAAAAACCCAAAATAATAATTCCGACATAAGTACTCATGATCTGGCACTTGGCTACCCTTACAGTAGACCATTACATAGGAGATGAGCTGAATGAAAGCTAGAGGATAAGATTAAATATGTGAAAAAGAAGTTGGGGGATGGAGAGAGATGAAGGGTAGGATCCCTGAGTCCTTCGCTTTCTTTGTATTCTCCCTTATTAATTCTGTCTCTCGAAAGTCAGCTGGGGCAATCAATCCCAGTGGACCAGAGCCAGTCTTGGCTCAGTTAATCAATGAGTTCCTGTAATTAGTGGCTTTAATTAAAGCGGCCCAAATGAGACCAGGAAGAGGGGGGCAGTATTGAATTCATGAAAACAGGAGTGAACTAGATACAGTTATTAAACAAGGGGGTTGTCCTTTTCAGGGTGTTTGTTTTTGTCCTTAGCTAAAGCAAGTGGAACTGTCCTCCACCTCTGCCTTGGGTGTTCAAATATCTTGCCAGGCTGTTCCAACAAGCATAGACATAACAAGAGTGTTACATCTGTGGGCAGGGCCTTTACAACCATCTTTAATCCAAAAATGGATGTAAACAAGCTCCCTGGAGCTGGGGGTGGTGACGGCCGACAGGGAGCTCTGGCGTGGGCTGGTCCATGAGGTCACGAAGAGTCGGAGACGACTGAACGAATGTACAACACAAAATATCTAGATTTAGATGCATACCCAAACTATCCCAATTTGGCAAAAACCATCTGCCTGGTAGCAGAAGTCCAATTTGCTACATCAGGAGTGGACAGGCGGCACATTTCTGCCAATTGTTTTGTGGCCTTTGCCATACTCTGCTACTCAATCTATTGTGGTTTTACTAATAAAGGTCTCTCGTGCATTTGAACAATTTGGTAAATGCTGCAAACAAGGTTTATATACCTTGTTGATTTGAAGGAGAAGGAATCACTCTACTTATGGGGAGGCATAATGCTTATAGAACCATACACCATTGGGTTGTTGTAGGTTTTTTAGGCTGTATGGCCATGTTCTAGAAGCATTCTCTCCTGACGTTTTGCCTGCATCTATGGCAGGCATCCTCAAAGGTTGGGAGGAGTGTTGGAAATTAGGAAAATTGGGTTTATATATCTGTGGAATGTCCAGGGTGGGAGAAAGAACTCTTGTCTGTTGGATCTAGGTGTGGCTGCTAGGAATTGTGGGAGTTGAAGTCCAAAACACCTGGAGGGATTAATTTTGCCCATGCCTGTTCTAGACCCACATTGTGTTCTAGGTGCATCATTTACCACTAATAAAACATAGCCGATTAAATTAGAGTTGGTGCTTGGTATTCAGTGGGGTTTGTAAGTCGGATGTTCATAATTGCCTATATAAGGGTTTCAGAATGGCATAACCAGACTTATGCCCTTTTAATGCAACAAACATGATGCTAGATCAGATTATTCTTACTGATCTTTCTCTTTCTTCTTCCAGGAGAATCCGAAGGGAAGGGTGTCACTCGATCCCGTAGCATCAATAGCTCCCTGTGCCAAGCTGGGCGACGCAGGAGTATCCGAATCTCCAAGGAGCCACGCAGACACACCATTTCCAATGCCATGGAATACGATATGGTAAGGGGGTCATGAACTCCTATAATGGGCAGAATGAGACAGTTGCTTATTGTGGAACAGTATTGTCAGTCCCTTACCTATTGCTCTTGTGTTTTTCTAGGATTATTTTGTTATTTCGAAATGTGTATATGTTATTAAAGGGTTTTATGCTGTTTGAACTGCTTTTGTTTATAGAGTTTTAGGTTGGCCATAAAACTATATAGTAAAGGTAAATGTTTCCCCTTGACATTAAGTCCAGTTGAGTCCAACTCTGGGGATTAGTGCTCATCTCCATTTCTAAGCCGAAGAGCCAGTGTTGTCAGTAGACACTTCCAAGGTCACGTGGCCTGCATGACTACATGGAGCGGTATTACCTTCCCACCAAAGCAGTACCTATTGATCTACTCACATTTGCATGTTTTCAAACTGCTAGGTAGGCAGAAGCTCATCCCATCCCGTGGATTCGAACTGCCAACCTTCCGATCAGCAAGTTCTGCAGCTTAGCCCTTGAGAAAACTCTATATACTGACCATATATTGCACTTGGAACAGCATTGCACTGTGTTATATGGTTCCAAGCTGACCATATTATACAGTACAAACTGCATTATAATGTTAATTGTAGAATAGGCCATACTGTAAATATTTTTAATTGTTTTGGGAGCCACTTTGGGCTACACTTTGTGAGAAAAGTTGCATACAAATGCAACAAATAAAGGTTGTAGCCCTCTGTTGAATGGCAGGATTATGTATGTCCTCTCAAACTAGTCTGTTCCCCTGAACTAAGGCAGACCATCCATCTCAGATGAATTACTTATTTAGGCGATCCCTCGTAGTCCGAGGATGATGGTCCTCCAAGAGTAGTATCCTGGGGATGGGTCCATAGGTGACTGTGGAGCCCTATTCTTGATCTGCATCTTCTCCCACAGTGAGGGCATCGGTTTCCAGGTGGAAGGCGGTCCCAGTTGGGGTTGGCTTGATGCGCATTCCTCTTGGCATGTTTCTCTCTTTTGCTCACCATTCATGCCTCTTCAAATTCTGCAGCACTGCTGGTCACAGCTGACTGCCAACTGGAGCACTCAAGAGCCAGGGCTTCCCAGTTCTATGAATACTGGCCCATTGTCAGTATTTAATGGGCAGTTCAGGTAGCTTCATTATATAGGATGGAGAAGGAAGCACTGTGTTGTCCTTTGCCTTAGGCCGGTTAAGCGGATATTGTTGTTCCACACCTTTATCATTTAGAAATAATAATGAATATATTGTAAGTCCTCCATGTTTACTGGGCACAGGACCCTTGCAACAGTGAAAATCTCTGAATAAAATAATGCTATTTTTCTAAACCAGTGGTTCCCAACCTCTTTTTTTAACCAGGGACCACTCTCCCAACATGAGTACCAAAATTTTATGAATCAGTTTTTGTTCAACTTTAGATTTGATTTCGTCATTTGTGGTGTTGATTTAAAAAATTGCATTGGATAGACCACATCAGCTGTACTTTCTGATACAGAATATATGCCATCCAGTAGTTGCCATCTCCTCACCCACAGAAAACCATATTTAATAATCTAGAGCTGATGTGGTCTAGCCAATGCAATTTTTTGAACCAGCAGCCCAAATAACCCCAGGGACAGACCTAAAAATGTGTGTCTTGCGGACCTTATTTTGGGTCTTGCAGCCCACAAGTGGGCTGTGGCCCAGGGGTTGGGAACCACTGTTCTGAACTGATCGAACATTTCTTTGGGAATGTCTAAATCCTTCAGTTTGAAACTATAGTTAAGATGACTATGGTGTTGCACTGGAGAACTAATTATTTCTAGAGATAATTTTTTTAATTAAATCCGCAAAAGTCAAACCTACAAATGTGGAGTTCGAACTGTATTATTTTTTGACCATAGGTTTATTCATGAAGTACAGAGTATAGGTTAATTACTTTAAATCCACTACCTTGGAGTATAATTGTTCCTGGAAGCTGCTCTATTCAATAGTGTATGAGACTGCCAATGAATACCAGGAGCTGCAGGCTATATTTCAAAGGAAGGAACTGGCAAAGCCACCTTCGAGCATTCCTTGCTTAAGAAAACTACAAAATTCATGAGATCACCATAAGTCGACAGGCAAATTGAAAACACATGAACACACTACCAACTAAGTTGGTTTTGATTGTGGCCCTGAATTTTAATCTTAAGGAACCTAGAGAAGATGTTCTCTTGGAAAGAATAGTGTTATAGGGTTACTGTGAGTTTTTCGGGCTATATGGCCATGTTCCAGAAGCACTCTCTCCTGACATTTCGCCCACATCTATGACAAGCATCCTCAGAGGTTGTGAGTATATTTCTAGAACTGATCTTAGTTAGTGTTCCTCATCCATGTTCTAACCATGGCAGACCCTGCTTAGCTTCCAAGATCAGATGGGATCTCTTGTCGTTGGGGTATATGGGCCAAGGAAATAAGAATACTTGGTCAAACATTATCTAGTGTATTGTCAAAGGCTTTCATGGCTGGAATCACTGGGTTGCTGTAGGTTTTTTGGACTGTATGGCCATGTTCCAGAAGCATTCTCTCCTGACATTTCACCTGCATCTAGGGCAGGCATCCTCAGAGTTTGTGAGGTCTGTTGGAAACTAGGAAAATTGGGTTTATATATCTGTGGAATGTCCAGGGTGGTAGAAAGAACTCTTGTCTGTTGGAGCTAGGTGTGAATTTTTCAAAACTGGACACGTTTCTGTGTGAACGAGCTGGCGCCTTTTCCTGAATAGAAAAACTGCAAGCTTTAGCTTTTCGTTTATAGAAAGGAACAAACCATCTTCCATGAGTTGCCATTTCTCTGTGGCATTGTTCACACAAATTGACCAGCCGCGAGAGCAATGCTTTTTGTTTAGCTGTTACCGTTGTTCATTGTTCTTGTGCAATATCTCATCAGAACTGAATCTGAGATGAGGAATGTCTAGTCCTGTAGGCAGAGTGAACCTCTTGCCTTAGGTAACAGATTTGTGGCCTCCTGAAAAGGCAGCAAATAGTTATGTGATTTGCTCTGTTTAACTGGCAGGGAGTCATATAGAGATTTTTATAGCTCCCCCAAAGATCAAAATAATCCAAATTTGTTTTAAGTACTATATAACTTCGGTATTTGTGAGTAGGAAGAGATGTGGAAAACTCTTGATTTCATTACCCATATGGTTCCTTGAATTCCATCTGCTGTCTGTCTCATGCCATTCTTTGCTCACTACTGGTTGTGAAAATTAATAAGCATTTCATACACATGTTTTGGTTAATCTGTGCTTGTTTATACCTTCTAACAAACTTCCATTTTATCTTCCACTGTCCCACTTTCTCAACTGCTTTTAAAATGTCCCAGTTTCTCTTTCCTTCTCCCCTTTCCCCCTTGGTTCTCATCTTACTTCACTTGCTGCAAATTGAATCTTGTTCTTCTCTGCAGGTGATGACAAAGCAAAGTTCTGTAACTTGTGTGCTCCCTTTCCTCCTCATATTTATTTATTTATACTATGCATTTTTTTCTCATGATTGAAACCCTTTTCCAACTTGACCTGCACTCTGATCTTGCCTGGCAACATTTCTCCTTATTTTCATATTGGAGGGCCAGATTTCTCCATTGATGAAAGCACATTTGAATATTTGAGGACTCACTATATTTATATAGCCACAGATTCTGTATGCCTGTATGCCTGTGTGTTTCTATATGTGTGCAATTACACTTACCTGGGCATTTGCCATTCCTCCAGTATGATTCTGTGGTCAGCTTCCAGCTGACATTGACCATAGAATAGCACTGGAAGACTTAGAGAAGTAATCTCTCAATAAAAGTAAGTGGTTTATTTATTTTATTTACACTTTTTCCATTTTTGCGGGGGCCTTGCATTGCTAACCCCAGCAAACGTGGAGGGATGACTGTATAACCATTTTGCCTGTTCACATTTTGGAAATGCACATAGAGTTTTGTGGAGATTTCATTTCTCCACATTGTGTCATGAGCCTTGCAAACGTTTGAAACTCTAAAGTAGTGGTTCCCAACTTTTGGACCCCTAGGTGTTTTGGACTTCAACTCCCAGAAATCCCAGCCAGCTTACAAGCTGTTAGGAACTGTGGAAGCTGAAGTCCAAAACACCTGAGGCCCAAAGGTTGTGAACCACTGCTCTAAAGTAAGCTGCTCCTCTCTTGCACATGACTTTTGTCTCCAGTGTCACTCCCAAAAGTACAGTGTTCCCTCGCTAATTCGCGGTTCACTTATTGCGGACTCACTGTTTTGTGGGGAGCAGCGAGGGAATACTGTATAGCTGCTCCCCGTTCCTTCCTGGAGAGAAAGGGGCTTCCGAGGCAGGGAGTAATGGAGGTGGTGGTGAGGAGGAGGCCATCGCCAAAGAGGGTCTTGGCGGCGTCCTCCTCCTCGTCCCTCCGCTGCTCCCTGCTTCTTCCTCGCCAGGCTGGCCGTGCTTGGTGAGGAAGGGGCGTCCAAGGCGGGGAGCAGCAGAGGTGGCGAGGAGGAGGCCGTCACAAAGTAGGACACTCCACTCAAGTGGGTGGAGCATCCCTACTTTGCGGATTTTCACTTATTGCGGGTGATCCTGGAAAGGAACACCCACGATAAGCGAGGGAACATTGTATTTCCAAACTTCATATATGTAGGTTTGTATATAATCTTCTGCTTCATGCACAAAATGTCTTATGCTACATGTGTTGGCTAAAATCAGAGACTAAATACAGTTCCACTCAAGTCAGATCTGTCAGTAATGGGGATCTAGCCAAATAATCAAAGATGGCCTTAGGACAAACTGTACATTGTGTGGAAGTGAGTATTGCAATCCCAGCAAGGTTTTGTGAGGACATGTGTGCATTTTAACAGACTGCCCTCTTGGAAATTATTATTGAACTGGACCCACCCTTTTCCCTCTCCGTTACTTTCTTTCCTCAGTAATCCTCTGACTTCACCAACTGCTCCCCCCCCCCCATCCCAGGGATCCCAGAGTAAAGTTTAGACCAGTGTTTCTCAACCTGGGGGTCGGGACC